GGCTTGTTTTACAACGTCGTTGCCAAGCGACGAAAACCCAACCCCGATGGCAGTCACCGAGCGGGGGGGGATCAACCCAAAGGGAGAGCTGAAAAAAAGAGAAGATAAAGACGAAAGAACAAGAAACGCGCCCCAGGTGCACCACGCACCCGGCAAAGTTCAACAGAGATTTTTACAGCACTGGTATATCCACGAACAAACAACACACACATCACGCACATTGTTCTCGGCCTACTTCTCCTCTTCCACATTCGCCATGGCGCACTTCTTCCACTTCTTCAGTGCCCTTTTCGCCCTCCTCACGGAGAAGGTTCGGTTTTCCTGCGAAGCTGCCAACGCCTTCGCCACCACCTTGTCCTCTTCCGCTTGTGATTCCCCCCCCCCTGTTGCCTCCACGACCGCGTTCCCCCTCCTGGTGGCTTGTCGGTGCGTATGCCACTCCTTGGCTTCGCGGTCTTTGAGGTAGCCCTCCAGCCCGTCGTCGTACGCTTCAACGTACAGCCACACCACCCTGCTCCACGCGCGGATGTGGTCCAACGGCACGCCACTCATCGCGCCCCGCAGAATCTCGAGCATGTGGGTGAGGGAGATTTCGCAGTGAAGGCGAAGAACGTGCTTGATGGATCCCCAGTACCGCTCAATGGCGTTGAGCTCAGGGTGGTACTTGGGAAGGAAGATGCACACGTGCCCGGCCTCCTTGAAGATCTGCTCGACCTTGTTGAGCTGCTCTTTGAAAGCCCTCAGCTCGGAGAAGACCCTTGAGGTACAGCACCGCTGCCTCCTTCCAGCAGCCCCTCCCGCTGCCGCGGGATCCCCGATGGAAGAATTTTTGCTGCTCCCACCACGCTTGCTCTAGAACTCTCTCCCGCTCCTCCCCTCCTTTGTTGAATGCGGCGATCGCTTGCCGTGCTGCCGCGTTGTCAGCCTTGCACTTGTTGCAACCCTTGACAAGCCCCCTCTTCTCGCCACGAAGCCGCCACAACCCCATCTCCCTGAGCATTTGCTCACCTCCTTTGTTGAGGCCAAGCAGGGGAGATCTAAGCACGACCTTGGTCCCAACGGGGAACTTGTCCTTGTCGAGCGCCGTTCCAGACTTGCGCTTCTTGTTCTTCTTCTGCTCCTCTGTCTTCGGCAAGAAAATCTTCCTGTCGGTAAGCAGAGTGTCGCCAAGCTGGAATGTAGGGTATACCTTCTTCCCGTCGACATCCTCGAATACCCTCAACGCCACCTTCTCCCCGCCAGGCGCCAAGTTGATATTGTGGGCCAGCAACGCGTCGGCATCGTATGGGTTGTGGCCGGTGGAGTTGTCGAAGATGAAGACACCCTGCCGGTGCGGCCCACTCGTCAGCTCGGCCATGGCGATAATCGCCGGCAGCTGGGCGCACATGTCATCGCTCGTCCAGTAGCCATCGTGCTGCTGCCCAACGGGCATGATGACAGCAGCCGTCTGAGGGTCGTTCGCCATCTTCAACTCCTCGCAGTCTGCAGCAGCCGCCTTCAGCACTTCCACCGCGTCTTGAACCTCCTTCACCTCGTGGCCCTTTACCCCCTCTCCCTTCCTGCCGAAGTACTTCCCAGAGCGCCCTGTAGTGACGTCTTTGTCCTCCTGCATCATGCCCCACGCCTCCTGGCTGATCTGCAGCTGGCCAAGGTCGACGCCGATCACATCCGAGATGTGCGCGGCGCGGACCTCCCTATTGACTTTCATGGCAGCCCCTTTCTCCGCCGACATCCATTGGTGGTCTTCATCGTCGTTCTCCTTCGCGGTGGTCTCGTCGTGGAAGAAAAGTGACAACACTTCGTGATCAGGCAGCAGGCGGTAATCCCTCCTGCCGTCGGTCGCGATGAGGTCGCGGTTATCGAACGGGACCTGCGCGGAGTCGCCGGCAGGCTGAGCCGTGCAGTCGCCGCGCAGATGGGCAGGCTTGAGCGCGCAGTTGTCGCACACACAGGGACCGGCAGACTTGCGCGTGCAGTCGTCGCACTCACATGCCCGGTAGCACGAACATCTCCCCTTCCCCTCGCCCGATCTCTGATCGCACGGACATTCCTTGAGCTGTTGCGCACCCACGCAATCCCCCCCGCGAGCGTGCGGGGGGTCGTAGACGCGGACGTGCTTGTACTCCTCCTCGCCGTCGACCGTCCGCACTGCTGGCCAGAAAATGGCCTCACGTTTTACCTTCTGCGGTCGGTAGAATCGTTTCAACTCTTCGTCAGGGAGCAAGCGGTAGCCGCCCTTGGAGTCGGATGCCGCGAGGTCGCGCGGGTCGAACGCCACACGCGTGCAGTCTCCTGCCACGCGTTTTGACGTATCGCCATCGCCGCAGACGCGCACGTGCTTGTTCTCCTTCTTGCCGTCGACCTCCCTGACTATTGGCCAGAATAGAAGTTCCCGACCCACCCTTGCCCCTCCGTTCATGTGCTCGTCATCGCCCGTCTTCGGGCTGGCCCTGTTGTCCCGCTCATCGTCGCTGGCGTCCGAGTCATCCGATCCTCCCTGCTGCCGAGCTTCACCGCGGCTGGTTGCCACCATCACCGTTTCTTCCACGCGGACAGGGCTGCCACGGGGCGAACACGAAGTCAGCAGCAACAGAAGGACGTGGTGGCGTTAGTACCGCGAGCACCAGCGATCTTTCGAAGTTTGCTTGTTGTTTCTTTTGCGAATGAAGGCACACAAAAGAATGAAGAGAAAACATCCAGATCACCCTAAACAAACCGAAAAGCGCAACACGAGCACGAGCACGAGCACGAGCACGAACAGACACACACGGAATAGCTTCTCCCCCCGACTGTTTTCGGCAACGCGGCAACGATGAACCACAACGAAACACGACGTGAAGTGCTGGGTGTGTGGGGGTGGCGCCGCGGGCGTCAGGCGGACAGCAAGGAGCGATATACCGCATGTGACATTTCAAGACATGCAACCGAGAAAAAAAATAATAACGCACATTTCCGAAATGTTCGAGGTCCCAGGCTCATAACAAAGGGCCTGAAAGCGACTACTTCGTTCTCGATTCCTGTTACTCACATGGACATCTTGTGGCGCAGGGCCTGTAGCAACGCCACAAATCCCCGACGGTCGGTGACCACGTCCGGCCTGTTGTGACCGTCAACGTACACGCACTTGTGGTGCCTCGACCAATGAAAGCCGGGCTTCTGCATCCACTTGTGCACGGTCCTCCGAGAAACTCCTTTCGTACCGGCGAGCTCTTCCTTCAGTAGATCTTTATTGATATACCTGTTGCAACGTGGCGACATGGCAAAATGAGTGCAAGCAACAATCACCACCGGGTACTGGAAGACAACTTGGAGGGGTTGCGGGGAGGAGGTTCTTTGCAATATCTGAGGCAGATGCCTGCCACGGAAAACTGAAGTGCGGGGAGACGGGTCACGGGCCAGTCGAGAGAAATACACTACAGGACAGCAAAACACTCGATCCCGAGAATATGGATGAAGATTGTTTCCGACGCTCCCGTACCTACGATAGGGGGGGGGTTCAAAGCTGGAGGAGGCATGAGCCAAAAAAACGCACAGCAGTAGTTGCAGCGTCTGCCTCGTATCATGCGTACGCCTCCTTGACCTGTGCCTCTCACAAAATTGCGCACATGCGGGCTTACCTCTACCAACAAATGATATGCCCCTCTCGTCTCCTAACTTAGCCAACTACACTCACTGTTGCACATCTGCGATTCGAAGGCACGGCTCGTCCTTCTTCCGCCGAAAAGCCTCCGGTCGATGTACTCCCTCAGGCTGTCGCGGATGTCCTCCTCGTCGATGTAGGTGTGCGCCTCCCGCTAGTTGTACTGCCGTTTGCAAACAACGAAGGCGCGGTCCTTGTAGAACTCCTTCACACACCGCCGCACTGTCTTCGATTGACCTCGGCGATTTGGGCTGCGGCTCTGCTGTGGTCCATTTTTGCCACCCCTTGTTGGATTCTGTCGTTAGGTTCAGGCGTCATTCGTTTCGGGAAGATGCTTCATGAGTTGAGCATGCTCTAACCAAACAGCACCATGATGCAGCAGTAACGTGCCCAACAGCAACAACATGCAGCGCCCGTAATGCAATAAAAAAACAGCCACGCTTCAACGAATACGTGAAGCAAGGCAGGGCAAGACAGCACTGACGTTGCCCATCTATACTCACTCGAGGTGCACGAAATGCTTCACGGTATGAATGACGCGGGCGGTGTAAACCAGGTGTGTTTTATCCAGCACCGTCTCCGGATCCTCCACCACTGCATCGTACCTGCTGCTCTGCTCAGCCTGTCAGGGAGGAGGAAGCCCACGTGTATTCGCCAGTCAGCTGCAGTTTTACGCGATCGTCCCTGAACTATTAGATTTCGAGGCAGAAGAAACACACAGAAAAAAACAGCGCGGAGGTCATACCACACACACCCTGCCAGAATCAAGGAAGCGGCTGCCAACATCCGCCCTTGCGCCCTGTGGATGTGCACAACAGAGTTGAAAAAAGGCGGTAATGACGGCGAGTGTCTTGACGCTCAAGAACTCTAGCTAACAAATATTTTCGGTTCGGTTTCGTTGACGAGCATGATGAGGTTTGCGTACACAACACATGTGGAGGAAGCACAGAAACAACAACAGCAGTGCCGCTGCCCACGAAACGCCGCTACCGTTGTAGTCAACCTTGACCAAGTATCTCACCTTCTGAAGCCTGCCAAATGCTTCGCGGTAGGTGTCCATCAGCTCCCCCCTACGCCTCGTCCAGTGCTTGCGAGTTCGACCCCTCGCCCGATCCAGCAACGCTTGCGTCCATATCTTGCCTTCCTGCACCACCGTGCTCCTCCGCGTGGCGCGCCGCGACTTATTTGTCCGCAACTTCGTCGGAGCGAGACCTGATCTGTCGCGGACCTCCTCCGGCGTCATAACCGTGTTCTCCCTCCCTGTTCCCCCTTTGTTGTTGCCAGCCGTGTTGTCGTACCCGTGCTTGACTGCAGCAAACACACCGCCGAAACGACCCTCTCGGTTGCTTCGGCGGGCGGGCGGTGGTGCGGCAACCTCTGCGGCTGCGGGCACTCTAGTATTTCGCACACTATCGTCGACCTCACCGTGCGCCCCCGCCCCCTGCCCAATGGCTACTGCCTCTTTGCCAAGAGATGTGGGGGTGGCACCCCTCTTGTCAGAGCAGCTGCCGCCGCCGCTGCTAGTGCTGCTGCTGCTGAAATTCAAACCGCCAAGAAACCCGTCTGACGAGGTGTCGCAGTTGTCCTCCAGCACTTCTTCGGCGTCCTTCATCTCCTGGCGACTGACCCACTCCTCAATGCTAAGCCCATGGCCCGAGCCTATCGACATGTCGCCGACGCTGCCACAGCTCTCGGTCTCAACATCACCCGGGCTGCCGCCGCCTCGAGGGCTTGTGCGGCGCAACCTCGAAACCCACCGCTGACTATACTAAACCAACCTCGCCATCGACAGAAGAGCTCTTCTCCTCTTCCTCCTGCTGCTGCTGCCGCACCCGCTGCAGACACCCTGCCATAGCACGTGCCATGCCTGCCGCCTGTTGCCCGAGAAGCATTTTTCTGCTGCGGTATTTTTGGCTGTTGGCTGTTGGAGAGCACACGCGGCGGGATTTTTTTCGCCGCGTTACCGGCTGCGCGCGCTTAGGCTTTTGCTCGATAGGCGATCGCCGAAAACGCCGATTTCTGAAAAAAATCGCCGCAAAAAGGGTAGAAAAAAAATCGCCGAAAACAAAAAAAAAATCGCCGATTCTGAAGGGGGCTCCGCCGTATCGAAAGGTGAAGTCGCCGATGGTCGCCGATTATATTCACGGTGCCCCGTCTCCCGGTGAGACTACATACACACAGCTGACACGTACGCGCTGTACACGGCTACACAGCTGAACGTCAGTGCGATGACGTCGCCTCTTGGCGGTATGGAAGCCAGGTTGGATAATAGCAGTGAAAGCGAAGGGAATTCGGAGAAGGAGGTGCAATTTGTCGGCCAAAAGACAAGTGCCGCTGCTGCCGGCAGCGGCGGCAGCGGCAGCGGCGACAGCGGCAGCGGCGGCGGCAGCGGTAGTGGGAGAGGCGGTGCCGCATCACCTGCTGCCGGTGCCCGTGCCAGAGTTCCACCACGGATCTCTGCAGCTGGTTCAGCTTCTTCTAACAGTAGTAGTGCCTCTGCACTCCAACGTAGTGCTGGTGGCCCCACTTCCGCCGAAAGTCCAGAATCGATACCGCTTGAGGTACGAAACGGTCTGATGACTTGGTTCCAAGAGGCGGCAGACGCATCGAAGAAAAGAGCGCGCACGAACAGTGAGAAGCGGGCCGCCGACAAACGTGCGAAGCGGGTGGAGGCGATCGCGAACAACCCTGCTGCACCGGAGCGAGAGGAGGGCATCGAGAGGGACCGTGCGGTCGTCAGCCTGGCCCAACGGAGGCGGGCACATGCCAACGTCGCGGAGGGGGCAGGCAGGAATATCGACAGTCGGGGAGCCATGGCCACGAGAACCCCCAAGAAAGATGCCCAGGTACCAGTTCATGACCGGATCAAAGAGTTCCCGAACCAAACCTTCTACATGATCAACACTGGGAAGATGGGCTGCCGTGCGTGCTTCGGCAAGGAAGTCAGCCTGCACAGTTACCGGGTGAAGGACCACATCAAGGGGAAGAAGCACCAGAAAAGGGTGGCGATAATGCTGGCGACAGATGAGGAGGATAAAGTGAGCTTGCTTGTAGTGGTACAGCAGTTCAACACACCAATATTGTAGACCTCAGCCGTTTGCATGATCTATATTCTCTCTACCTTTTTGCAGTTGTTTCCTTTGCTGCTTCGCTGCGTCACCTTGTCCTCGAGATTGTAGACTGCGCAATCCCACACGCCACAACCAACGATTGGACTACGCTTTTACGCTTTCGGTCCTGCTGTGTGTGTTCGTTTCCTCGCTACAGGGGACGCTCCGCGCTTTCGCTAAGCGCTCCGAGGAGGATGGAGGGAGTTACGGAGACACGCTGTCCGACAAGGACAAGCTCACACAGATCAAGGCGGTGAAAGGTTGTTTGGCGGCAGCTATTCCGCTAAACGCGCTGGGCAACCCTGTGTTCGGGGCGTTCCTCGCGCACTTCAACGTGAATTTGCCTCACTCCGGGCATCTGGCTAAGCACATACCATTGATCCTCGAGGAGGAGGTGAGGAAAATACAGTGAACAATAAATAACAAAGGAGCGCTGTGCTTGCTGTGTTTGTTTTGCAAGACGGTAGCGTAGACGAGTGCATATTCAAAATCTGGGTGATGAACTTAATAATACTCAAACACTTGTGTCCCTGCTCTGTCTTGGTCATTTTCGGGAACAGCAAGCCAAGGTGCGAGGTGAGATTGGCGACCGACCCTACGCGCTGTGCTTCGACGCCACTCCTTACCTCTGCGAGTGCTTCGGGGTTGGGGTTCGGTTCATCGGCTCAAGTGGGCAGGTAAATAAAATGTTCATGTTGCCGTTCGTCCTCGGAGGTTCTTCGTCATGCCAGAGTCCGACGGTATCGATTTCGACGTGAAAACAGTAGGTAAGCTTTGCAGAAC